TAAAGCTATCAAGGAACAACTCCTTAAGATTCTAAAGAAAGTCTATAAAAAGCCTGAATTTTGTTACAAATTTTATATCTAAAATGATCATGTCCTTGCATCTTAATTCCATTAAATCCTTAAAATATTTTAATAGGCTGTTCATTTTATTGATGACTCCAATTTTATGACAAAATTTATCCTCAATTTCCTCTATAACTTCGTCTTCATATCTTAAAGACCCATGTCCTCGTGTCTCAATTTAATTAGATCGTCAGTGTCGCCACCATAGGAGGTGTTATCATATCTCAATTTCATGTTCAATTTCGGTCCATATTAAGTGCAAAATCATTCAAAAGAAAAACTTTTTTTGTGTCTTATCGTTTTACAATTTCATTAATAGAGTTTCATTTCCTAAATATCATGAATAGTAGACGTAATTCTTGTGTCACTTTCATGGTAGATAATTCTTATGTAGTTCCAAAGCTATAAAAAAATTCATTCACGTATTGAAGAAGACGTAAATTTTTTTTTATCTATCTTTATGAGCTGATAAAAAAGTCCTTAAAAATGCTAGTAAAGAAAGTTGAAGGACAAGACACACAACGAGAAGGATCATGAAAAAAGGAACACGAGATAAAAGTTACATCCAACAGGTACATGGAATTGCGTGATTTGAAATGCTGATTATTACAGAAGAAAGAAGAAATTTTATTCTTTATTGTGGTTTTTGAGTGCTTGTATGATGTTCACACCGTGATTTGAGGTGGTCTTGAAGATGGGTATGAATTCGAACGAGTTAAGCAAAAAATTATGTCAAACAAAAATCAAAGATTTCAAAGAACTATTTAAAATTTTATCATAATTTTAAGAACTGGAAGGAACTGAATCTATAGACGGTACGAATACTCTCATGAACCCTTAACTAATCCAAAAACCCTCAATTCCAACTTTCTTTTTTGATATCAAAGAAAACAAGTCTTAAATTTATTACAATTTCTCGAATCCAATTCCATTCATTGTTCCTAAACAAGATCAGCCAGTAATAAATCATTTGATAAATTAGCCTCCAACTTTCTTTATTCAATTCATTGACATGATTTTAAGCATCCTCGTTGAGGTGATGAAAAGATTCACAATCAAAAGAATTTAGATCACTAAATGATCGATGCGCATTTTATATGCATTCACTCACAGTATGACGAGTGAATAACAAAAAAAAATAAGTTTTGATTTTTGATTCTTCTTCTTTTCTTATAGCTTCTGTTTCTGACAAAAAAAGAGAAACAAAATAAGAACTCAAAAAAAGAAGAATTCTTGGAAAAGTGCATAAAAGAAAGACGTTGAAGGCAGAGAAATCATAAAAATAAAACTTTTTTGACTGTATGACTTGCAACTATGGTCAAACTTGTTGAAAGAGTTTTTTTTGCAACATTTTTGCTTTTAACCAGTTGGATAACTGGTAATTAGAATTTTAGTAATTGGATCGAAAATTAAATTGTTTTGCTGACTTTGCTGACGAAAGGAAACGAGAGGAAGAAATGAATATTATGAGTTGGAATTCAAGGCTAGAAGAAGGTATAAGGCGCATTTTTTTTGTAGGGATGAGCAAGTTATTGCTTTAGTTAACGTTCAGGCTAGAATTAAGAGGTATGAAATACATATAGGAATCATTAATGTTGTAGCTGAGGAATTGGGATCGAATCTGCACAAAACTCTAGCTTAAGAGCTGCTAAATCACTCTGGACATCAAAATCAGCGTCTTTCTCATCAAAACTTAAGTATATTCAGCTATATGACCCAAAATGACTCTCAATCTCCTTCAAAAACCTGCTAAATATTCAATTTCTAAATAATCCTCTTCCTCGCATTTCATTTCGTTGCACTAAAACTCATTCTCGTGCTCTTATTCCAATCTTCTCTCGAAGTTTTTTTTTTTTTCAAAATTAAGACATTAAAAAAATGTTTGTTTAACATTTCGTTGCTTTAATGTCCCTTAATGTGTGCGGTCTTGTTGATGAAATGAACTTTTTTTTTGCTCGCATTTTCGTACTTTAAAAACTGATCAATTTTCTAATACTTCTCAATTATGTTCAATTAAAGATCAATTTTCTTTGGTCTGGTTTTCAATAATTCTCAATATTGTATGTAATATTGGCTTAATGGTCGCATGGATGCAGCGTGCGTTTTAAGTGCGGTGGGTAATAATGTATTAAGGTTAATTTGAGTATAAAAAGTTGTAGGAAATAGGAATTCAAGGGGGAAGTTGCATATTTGTGAAAGACTTTGAGGGATATTGACTAAACTTACCAATATGTCTGGTTTTCAATAAATTCCAGCTACAATACAAAATCAACGGAATCTAATCAAAAAACTCGCTTTCAAGGGCACCGATGAGTCTAATAATGCAATCTATTCATGCTACCAACTTCTTTCATCGCAGCACAAACATAAAATAAATCTAAAATCATGGTAATTCCTGTAATCAAAAAATTATAATCAGTTGTACGTGCCATTTCAATAGAAGCCACCAGAATAGAAAATTTTGAGATCTAATTTGCAATTTTTTTTTCATCGTCAGCTTGCGACATAAAGAAAAGGGAGCTGAATTGATTCAAAAGAGAAGCTTAGTGATGTTTTATGGACATGCGTGATGTATAATAATGACGGTAGATTAATTCGACTAGACTTGAAATTTTACAACATTGTAGTTCTGACTTTTTTGAATGACTTCTTGATTCTGTTTGATGTTGAGGAGGTTTTTGGAATTTCTGAAGATTTTTTCTTGATCCCAAAAAGTCATTTGATTCTGCAGATTATGCTGAATATTATGCGAAATGATTTTTCACATTAAAAAATTCTCATGGATCAAAAAACCTTAAATTTCCAACTTTTATTGTTCTTATCCATTAGAATGCATCCAAACGAGAAGATAAATCGATGATTTACTTTATAAGCAATAAAGCCAACAAGCGAAACAGATAAAAAGGAATAAAAATTCATTTCTTGACGGCTACCGACTGAGAATCTCTTTTCACAAATTTTGATATGCTTGTCATAAAAAGTGATTTTATTATTCTCATTTAACATCTTGATTAGTGAATTTTTAAGCATTAGATTAAAGGGAAATTAATTTTTGATTTATAGTCGCTGCTAAAAGTGGATGTGAATTGTTTTTTAAGGTTTAGTTCTTTTGATTCCTTAGAAGTCGTTGAGTTCAAAGGCTCAAGTGCTGCAAGTCACTTAAATTTAATTTCTAGATAGTAAAAAAAATGAGTTTGAACATGCTTAGTCCATTAAGTTATTTTAGAATATTCAACAATTGACTTAAGAATCATCAAACTTGCCAAACACTGGCAAAAGAAGTATCAAAATTCACGGCAATAAATGAGATAAATAATTTATTAATCAGTATAAAAAAATCTTACAAATTCTCATAAATAATTTCTTAAATCATAAAACTTTCATCAGCTTACATTCGAGAATTAGTGCCAAAAAAAATCTTGTATTTTTTAAACAATTTATTGGAACAATTAAGCAGTAAATAACCTTCGTTTTTGTGATCGTCACAGGAAATCATAATAAAAAATTTTGCTGTTATAAATTCGGTCGTTATGATTAAAATATTGATGCACTGCTGTTGTCCGAAATTGACGATAAAAAGGACTCAACGAATGGAATTCGTGTGAAGAGTTGAATGAAGAATTTTATCATAAAATAAATAAAGAGAAGCTTACAGCATCGATCCACAAAATATGCACTACAAAAAATAATGTAAGGAAAATTAAGTCATTTTTGGAAGTTTGTTATTAAGTCATTATGTCCAAGTGCCCTAATTATGGCCAAAAAAAAATAAACTTACATTCTCATTTGAATTTTTGCTTTTGGAATCGTCGACATTGGTTCCTTTAAAATATACAATCGCCCACCGAGCAGGCAATTTCTTATAAATTGGTCCTCAAAACTGTCTGGTATTGACTGTGTATCAATAAAGAACCTGTTAGAATATAATCAAATTAGTTCTTGTCATTCATCATAATTGCTCAATTCCGTGTTATTTTTAACACTGAAGGCATTATTGCGACATATTCATGCTACATGACTTGCCATCAAGTTTTAATTAAACTAATTTCACCATAAAAGTTTATGAGTGAAAAGTCATGCGTTTTATTTACATACATTTTATATTCTTCTGGAGATAATTGCTGATTGATTGCCTTGAATTTGTCGGATTTAAAGACCCAGTTGCGCATTGTGAAGAATTGCAAGACTTCTAGACCTTGGCTGATTCTATTTTGGATGCGGACCATACTGAAATGATAGAAATATTAACTATACTATACAATTTAAATTATCTTTAGCCTCAAAAATTTATAAACTATCAAAAAAGTACAAAAGGAAGAAAAATGTTGACTAAGACAAGCACTGAACCGCACATTTTCAAAATACATCAAAAAATAACAAATTTCATCAAAAAAGTATTTGTCAGCGGTGGGATTCGAACCCACGCCTTCAGAAGAAGACTAGAACACTCAGAACTGATTTTCATATGACTTGCGTCACTAATCAGAAGTTTTACACTTGAGTCTAGCGCCTTAGACCGCTCGGCCACACTGACATCGATATTTGACTTTGGCTATTGGTACAATATGAACTCGCGATGTGAAAAGATTAAAAATAGATTTTTTTTCGAAGTTCGTATGCGATGAAAAAGTAATGTGCCGTAAGAGAATATTCTGTGTGATAGAAAATGAACTAGAATAAGAAGAAAAAGTTTGTGTGTACGAATGAAAATGGTTTTGAATCAATGTGAGAATGAATGTGTCACGTGATACTTTTATCATTTAAAGATGCTTCAATTGTAATTATATTACGGCAGATTCTCAAGTTTCATGGGTATTTTTTTTTTGGTTTCATGCAAGTGCGAGACTGGCTAGACAAAGAAATTGTTACAATGAATGTCATTGCGGTATGGCTGATAACGGAATGTCTTATAAATTCAAAATATATTTCGCTCATACTCACAATCTTCTCTGTCTTAAGCAGAACATCAAAAAGTCAATAGCGTAAGCCGGCAACCAATGAAAAAGTGCAACATTTATTTTATGCTTGAATTTATTGGTTGTAATTTCACCATCTGGATACCAAAGGCCGATTTGTGCTGGAATCTCAAAGTTAAACTTCTTTGTAGCATTCAAGACATATCCGAGACTTCTCTTTTTCTCTTCACTTGCTGTGACGTTGTAAACTTCAATTTCAGGTGATCTAAAATCCAATTTAAGCATTGAAAATTAGAAATAAATCATTTCCAGTAATTCAGTGCATCACTCACCTTTTCTGCGAAGCCACAATCTTTGCTATCAAAATAATTCCATTAATAGCCAGGTCAACTGGTATAGCCTCAGTTTTAACATCTCCATCAACAAGCATTGATCTTATAACACCTTTTGCAGCACCAATAAATAAACCAGCAGGTCCATTAAGACTATCAATCCAGCCAACACACGGTTCCTGATATGATGGGAGTACAATCGATGGACGTACGATGCAAATTGGCATTCCATTGCGATATTCATTCCGGCATAAAATCTCAGCTAAACGTTTTGTGTAAGTGTAAGTATTTGGATGAATTTTGAGCAAGTGAGGCTGTAGTTTAGCCATTGCCTTCTCATTCATCCATTGCGAGCATTTTATCAAGTCTATTGGGTCTTCCTGGCTGTCAATGACTTTCTCTTCTAGAATTTTTTCATCGGGACAGCAAAAACCAGTCGAAAAATGAACCATCAACTTTAGATCCGGCATTTGTTTTGCAACTTCAATGACATTGTAAGTTCCAACAAGATTCATAACTATATTTGGCTTAAGTGTAAATTCAAGCCTCAATGACGCTGCGACATGAAAAACAAGGTGAGCTTTTAATACTTTTTGTAGATGTTCTTGACTTAGACCAAGACAAGGCTTCGTTATATCACCATAAACTGTTGTGATCTTGCTCATGACTGATGGCTTTTCAGTAAGAATTCTTTGGAACATCTGAAATTAAAAATTGTGAGTGGAATTTTGTAAGATAAAGGGGTTGTGGACTCACGGGACTCTTTGCAAAGTCAGCAACACGTTCCAGTTCCGATTTTCCTCTTTTCGGCCTCATTAAAATTATAATTTCCTTTAAATCAGAGCACGAATATAGCAACTTCTCGAGTAGAACCTTTCCCATAAGACCGGTACCTTTAGATTAATCAAAATAATTGAATTTCAAATTTTTGACAAGCAGACCCACTCCACTCCATTCCAACACATTACTTATCTTAATCATTTATAATTTAATTAAATTAATTGCTAATAATCAGAAGTGTCAATCTTACCTCCAGTTATGAAAATAACCTTATCGTTATAAAATTGCTGCACAGAATTGAGACTCGAGCCACTCATGTTGATTAAACCTTGAACTTATTATTTCTGCAAAAACCACAATTTTTTATAAATTTTAATTAAATTTTTGTAATTTTTCTATTGAACTGCAACACAACTTTAATTATATTCTTTAGTCACTGTTTTCTATATACACATAATTAGCTTCTTTAAGTCTCTTAAATCATTTAAATTAGGGTGTCAAGTTTACAATCACTGTTCATTAGATCATACATAAATTAATTAATATTATATGATAATTATTATGACTTTAATAGCCGCACACGACATGCACGTTGTTGAACTTGAAAGACTTCTTTGTGGTATCAAAATCAAGTTCATTGTGGATGGGGTTTTGTATTGAGTGTCAAGTATCTTATTAACTTAACAGAAGATTTAATTTCATATTTTAAATTTGGAAATGTTATGTTAAGACCTCTCCCCCTCACCCTCCACTCTGGAAAATGAGATTAATTTAAATGCAAATGATTTGATGTTTAATGAAAATTAATTGGAATCTTCACTGTTTCTGGAGATGCGTTGAGGATTTTTGATATTTATTAAGGATTTGCTTTGAATCTTATGCATACAAGAAAATCTAGTAAGAGGTTTGAGGGGTGATAAACATGGATAGCAACAGAATTTTCTTTTGCGAAATGTAATAATTCTTTCAACTTTAAATTTATAAGGTTTGCTCAGTTACACAAACTTCAATTAACATCCACGTCAATTTAATATTTTGCAATATTAGCAATATCCATAATAATCAAAGCAAATTATATTTCTAATGCTAATGCACCGACCGACATTAATCTGATTTAATCCACATTATAATGATTATTGCAGCGATTTAGACAAAGATAAATATGCTAGTGACTTTGTTTTTGCACAGCAATATGTGTGGTGATTTGGATAAATATGTTTCAAAGTTAATTTTTATTTTTAAACTTTTTAATTTCTTTTTAATAATTTTTCTTAAAATTTTATCTTTTTTAAAATTTGGAAAAATTTTATATAAATTTTTAAACTTTTCAAATTTATATGCAATTGATTCTCACTTTAACACTTAATAAATCATCAACTAGCTGTTTTTTTCAATACACAACAGCTGCTTTGTTTAACTTTGTCCACTCTTCGTCTTACACTTAACAACTTTACCGCCACAAAATCTAAATGAATAATGAAACTTGTAGTGTAAGCTACACCGACTTTTATTGATACTCTGAGTCTTTTATATGCTTTGCATAATCATAACTTTATATCTCAATATTTTTCATTATTTAACATGAATGATTGTCGTGTGCTAGTAATTGTATGTAATGTAAGAATGGATTTATTATGTTCATGGCTGAAAATGTTTGAGTTAGAAGAGTGTTTTGTGTAAATTTGTATATATAGATCACTTTTGAGGTAGTATGTACTTAATACCATACTTAAGCACAAGCAAAAATAAGAATTAATAAGCTACAATGCATTCAATTCCTCTGCAACATTGTATTTTATCAGTCAATCAAGATAATTATTTTAAATTTGTAAAAAATTAATTGTTCGTGTCTATGAGCTATTACAATCATTTTAATCACATCAATCAAATAATTAAAAAATAAATAAGCAATTAATTGGACATAAAGACAATGAATTTTATCAAATTAAATAAATCAAAAAATGTTTTCATGTTTTATAGACACTAAACCCCCCGAAATATGAATAAATATCCATCCTAACCTATCTCAATCGTAAAATCTTCTTATTATTTCCCCATTCATAAGGTCGTCTAGAATAAAATGATGAATAAGCTACAGTAGCTATAAAAAGAATAGAAACGTGAAGCATAAAGCAGACGAAAGAAGGAAAAGAGCATCATAATTGTATCTCATTTGACTAATGAATCGCTATGACATCAATAAAAGTCGATCATAATGAAAATTTATGAAAATTGTCAACAAATGAAATGAACAAAAGAGAAATTAAATGATCGAAGACAGGTAGGTTCGTTCAATCATTCATTATTATGTAGATGGATATAACAAAAGATCGTCGTTCGGGTCAAATGGTTTGTAGCTTCAGCTTATGATTCAATCATTTCACTTTCTTCAATTTCTTCCTTCCTTTCATAAATTTTGAAGGTTTCATGCTCGGCGAAGGAATTATTTTCGGGTATAGGGTTAGAGAAAGTGTTTGTGGATGACAAATGGAATTTCATACACTCTAGGAAAATGAACAGAATTTAGCTCATTCAACTAATTCAGCTTAATTTGGTTGGCCTTAGTTAAAACATCAAAAATCATGATACGTCTCTAACCCTATAATCTTCGAAAAACTCTTCACTTTCCTCAAAAGTCACAAAAATATTATTTATATCACCAATTTTTGTTAGTTTAAAGTAAAGCTTCCAGACGAGACCACCATCATATTGGATATTTCAATATTATGATGTCAATATTTTTCATTTTAATGATCGCACAAACAAAACGAAAAATGACATAAAATAGCGAAAATAAATCAAAAGAGCATCTTCATTAGAATAAAAGCGATGCACGAAGGAGAAGAAATATTAAATTGAGATATCATTTCTTCTTTTTTTTGTGGCTCTTATGACATAAATTGTGAGAAATCTAATGCACTTGATGTGTGCTTAGAAATTGCAATTCAAATGTAAAAACACAAAAAAAAATCTAATTAAAATCATCTCCTTTAGCATTTCGCTTGCTTTTATTGAATCTTTTTCTCATGTTTTTGTTTCTTTTTGTCTTGCATCTTCTGCCTCATCAACATAGGACGTCATATCTAAACGTTGTAGTTTGATTTATGTTATAGTTTTTGCTATCGATCGATTATTTATTCTTAGAATGTTTGTAGACCAGTGGGGATGTCTTAAGATTGGCTATGATCAATTCTGTAAGACTAGTCATGTCTTGATATTATGGAAGCATCCAATAGTGTCCTTAATACAAACCTAATCGATGTTTTGTCTTAGAAAATTGATTTTTAAACATGACCATAGCTCCAAATATATTGTAAGTAAGTTGAAGCCTGCAAAGACTGAATACAAATGAACTCCAAAACTTCTGTGATTGCCTAAAAGTTTAAGTTACATTAAATAATAATCACAACCATTAATCATAGAAATTTCTAGCAATTATTCAAATTTAAAATTAAAACAACAGAATAGAAAATTTTCTGACCACAATTTTTACACGTTCTTGATTTAATGACTTTAACATCCTCTAATAAATCATAAGAATATGAAATATTTACTTTTCGCCACTTGGCACATGCATGTGATTGTATCTATTGAACAAAACACAACTAAAAGAATGAAAAAAGAACAAATTCTATGAAGAGATCAGCTCAGCCTTAATATGTTGCATATTCTCTCTTTATTTAACCATCCCATAAACATGAATTAGATTAAAAATTAATGATTAGTTTGCATCTTAATTCATTTTGAAGTAAAGCACATAAATTTATGTAAAAATCTTTATTATCTGCTCGCTTCTTTTCCCTTTCATTTGAGAGGCACTCGATCGCAAAATATTTGCATTGCGAATTATGGCACACTAAACAATTCGAGACTTTTATGTGCGTGCCCTCAAAACAAAACAAAAATAAATATCAAAATAAATAAATTTACTTTTATATGCTCGATGTACTGACTGTTTGCTGATCCACTTCCAAAAGTGAATTAAGTTTATTTTTATTTATTGACTTCCGCGCGGGATTAAAATTTCTTTCAAGAAGGACCGAGCTTTTTAAAGAAATCATTTGGAGTCTATAAGCTACAGCCAAGCTATGTACATGATCAAAATTAGATCCTTTATTTGTATTATTTAATGAATGAGCGACCCAGTAAAATATCATTTAATGAAATAAAATTAACAATGAAAATCCCCCCAGAAGTCCAAACTTTAACCCCCTCATCCACTCTCTTACAACTCTAAAAAATTTATTATTATTTCTGTATTTATACTGCCAATAAAAATCGTATTGAAGATTGTAAATATTTGTTTTCAGTTAAATACATTGCAATTGGAAACTTATTTTTTATATATTTTATTCGTGAAAGAAGAGACCAAAAATGCTGCTGGGGTCTCTCTTCATCTTTTCGTTCTGCTCATGAAGCTGATAAATTTGAATAATGTTCACTATAAATTTTCACATTTTGCAAAAATGTATGTTATGAGGCGCAAATCCTATAACAATAAATGAGTCGCTTTAGGATAATGAACCAATAAGCACACTAAAGTGTTTCATAAAATTGCAATGCAAAGTGGATTTAAAAAATTGTTTTTTTTTTGGCTTTGTGGATTTTTTTTGGGGTATAGAAGTGAATATTGATGGTTGTAAATGCTGAAAACAATTTTTAAAAAATCTTTAAAATAAATTTTTTTTTCTAATTTCATCAAATTTATTGAACTAAAATTTTTTAAAATAAATAT